TCTCCGCCATTGGCACGTTGAGTGCCAGTGGTTTCTCGCCGGCCACCCGCTGACGAACCTGTCGGAGCAGATGCTCGTGTCGTGCGATAAAACGGACTCTGGCTGCGGTGGTGGCCTGATGAACAACGCCTTTGAGTGGATTGTGCAGGAGAATAACGGCGCCGTGTACACGGAGGACAGCTACCCTTATGCGTCGGGCGAGGGGATATCGCCGCCGTGCACGACGTCAGGCCGCACGGTGGGTGCCACGATTACCGGTCACGTTGAATTACCGCAGGACGAGGCCCAAATAGCCGCATGGCTTGCAGTCAATGGCCCGGTTGCCGTTGCCGTCGACGCCAGCAGCTGGATGACCTACACGGGCGGCGTTATGACGAGCTGCGTCTCCGAGCAGCTGGATCACGGCGTTCTTCTCGTCGGCTACAATGACAGCGCCGCAGTGCCGTACTGGATCATCAAGAACTCGTGGACCGCGCAGTGGGGCGAGGATGGCTACATCCGCATTGCAAAGGGCTCGAACCAGTGCCTTGTCAAGGAGGAGGCGAGCTCCGCTGCCCAGCAGGGTTTGTTGTTGTTTTTCGTTTTTCGTTTTGTTGTGTTTTTAGTTTTGGTGTTTTGTGTTTGTGGCATTGTTTTTTTGGTGTTTTTTACTTTTTCCTGGGTATTTTTCTTGAATTATGTTTTGTGTTTGTGTTTTTGTGAGTGTGCTTTCTGCTGTGTTTTCTTTGTCTTACTGCCTTTGTGATGATTTTTTTTTATATATATTTTTTTTTGGGGGGGGGGGATTTTTGTGTAGGTGTGAGGTTCAATTTTAATTATTTTTTAACTTTCTTTCTGTGTTTGTGTGTGTGTTGTTGGTATCTGTGTTTCTTTTTTTGTAGCCAGTAGCCACGCGATTGTTTCGTGTATTTCATCTTGTTTTGCCGCTCGCCCCCGTTGCCGCGATGAGCACCAGCAGGCATCAGCCGCAGGTTGTGGGGGGACTGAAGGTCACAGAACCCGTGCGGCGGCCGCGGCATCCGCCGTGGTATCCGCCAGTGCAGAATGACGCGAAGGGCCTTCGAGTGCTGAACTCGTTGACGGAGAGCGTCGAGCCGTTTGCCCCACGTGAGGGGAGGCTGGTGCGGTGGTACGCGTGCGGGCCTACTGTCTATGAGCTTTCTCACATGGGCCATGCCCGCGCCTACCTCACCTTTGATATACTGCGTCGTATCATGGAGGACTACTTTGGGTATCAGGTTGTGTATCAGATGAACATTACCGATATTGACGATAAAATTATCAAGCGAGCACGTATTTCGGCATTGTTAAAGCGATTTCGTGAAGATTTCTTGCAGGGACGTGACATGGCGCGGCTTGTCGCCTTTACGGCCGAAGCGGAAACGGCGGCAGTTGAGGCACTCGAGTTGGCCCGAATTAAGTTTTCAGAACCGCTGCCGGACACAACACCAAGTCGCATTAAGGCGGAGCGTGAGGAGAAGCAGATGGAACTTGCGCTAAAGGAGTCCCAGTTGCAGAAGACAAGGGAACGTATTGCATCGGCGACTGCCTCTGGTAACTTTGATGAACTTTTTAACGCGGCTTCTGGGATAAACGGTGATTTGCTGGATGAGCGCGAGGGACAGTATGTGACGGACCAAAGCATTTTCGAGGATCACGCGCGATTGTATGAACGTCTTTTTTTTGAGGACATGCGACGTCTCGGCGTCCGCGACCCCGACGTTGTCTCACGTGTGACAGAGTATGTACCACAGGTGGTTGACTTCATTCAGAAGATCATGGACAACGGTTTTGCATACCGTGGAACGAGTTCCATATTTTTTGACACCGCCGCCTTTTTGCGTGCCGGGCACGACTACCCGAAACTGAAGCCCGTGAGTGAACGTGGTGAGAACGATGCGACGGAGGCGGAGATGGCGGAGGGGGAGGGTGCGTTGACTGTGGGAGTTGCCGGTGAGAAACGAAACGCCAATGATTTTGCCTTGTGGAAGTTCTCGAAGCCTGGTGAGCCGCGTTGGCCGTCGCCGTGGGGAGCGGGACGCCCTGGATGGCACATTGAGTGCTCCGTCATGGCTTCGGACATACTCGGCACCAACATCGATGTGCACAGCGGCGGTTGGGATCTGAAATTCCCCCACCACGACAACGAGTGTGCGCAGAGTGAGGCATGTCACATGCAACACCAGTGGATAAATTACTTCCTACACTGTGGGCACTTACATATTAAGGGTCTCAAAATGAGCAAAAGCCTGAAGAACTTCATTACCATTCGGCAAGCACTTGATGAACTCGATGTAACACCACGTGTAATGCGACTGTTGTTTCTTGCAAATCACTGGGGGAAACCGATGAATTTTTCGGATCAGAGCATTGAAGAGGCAAAAGAGAGGGAACGTGTCCTACGTGCGTTCTTTGGCAGTGTCGATATTGTCTTACGGAAGGACAACTGGGGCAAGACGCAGGGCTTGAACGACCACGACCGCCGTCTACAAGAAACCTGGTTAACGGCCGAAAACGCCGTACATGGCGCACTGCAGAATAATTTTGACACTCCCGCCGCCATGGATTCCGTCATGGGGCTCGTGGGCGCGACAAATCATTACCTCCTTAGCGGGGAACGTCCGAGCGCGACGCTCGTGCGGAAGGTTGGCCGCTATGTCACACGCATTTTGCAGGTGTTTGGTGTGGTGGAAGGGACCGACATGGTTGGCTTTGCCACGCAGCAGGGCTCAGACGATCGGCTTCTAACGGTCATGGACGCTCTCTTGCGCTTCCGCGACGGCGTGCGTGACGCGGCAAAGGTGGAAAATTCCACCGAGACGTTCCTACCGCTCTGTGACGCAGTCCGCGACGAGTGGCTGGTGCCTGCGGGCATTCGCATTGAGGACAACCCTGCTGGTCCAACGACGTGGAAGAGTGACGATGTGGCCGTGCTCCAACGCGAGGTGGCAGAGCGACGGGCGCAGCAAGCAACGGAGCGGCGCACAAGGCTTGAGAATCAGATTGAGACGAAACGGAAATTGACGGAGAAGTGGCGCCAGTACACGTGCACGCCGATAAGGTACTTTAGCACGCGAGACACAGAGGAAAAAAAGTACGCCGCCTTTGATGAAGCCACGGGGCTCCCGACGCGACGCGCGACAGGCGAGGCGTTGGGCGAGAAGGAGCAGAAGAAACTCGCAAAGGAGCTTGCGAGGTACGCGAAGGTCCACGAGGAGTTTGTTGCGAAAGGGGGCGAGGGGTGGCTGGCGGAGCAGGAGAAGGAATTGGCATCGCTTTGCCAGGCCCTCGAAAGCCTCTGACGGCGTGTCTTGCGCCGTGGCCTGCGTGCGTGTGTTTTTTGGGAGGAGGATGAAGGAAAGAGCGAAGAAAAGGAGAGCGCTGAACAAAAAGAGGAGGACGGGAGGAAACAAAATAAAGGGAATAATGTAAGGTGGGGAAGGGGAGAACAACAACACCACGGCGTTGTGTCCTCCTCGCCAGCGGCGGTGGGAGTGGTGGGGGAGGAGACGCGGAGGGCGGCCGGAGCCAGCAATAGGGTCGAAAAGAGCCGTGGGAGAAATTCCTTTAAAATAGCATGGAGGAGAAAACATAATCTTCACTCGTATCTTCCTCCCCCTGTCGCTGTGTGTGTGTGTCTGCCGCATCTGTCGGGGCCTCCCTCGCAGAGGCACATGATCCCCCTCCCCTTTCCACTGCCCGCCTGCATGTATGCATCCTTGCTGTTGTTGCTGTGGCTGCTGTGCATCTCCCGCCCTCTCTGTTTCTTGCACTCCTTCCATGTATACGCGGATGCATTTGGGTGCGCTCCGCTTGTATGCCACCAACACCGCTAGGAGGAATACACACACTTTGAGATATTTCCGCGTTAACCCACCCGACGAGGCCACCGAAACGGAAAGAAAAAGAAAAGGAAGGAGTGTTGGGGAGACAACATAAATACTGAGGTGACATATATACACACGTCTCTGAAAAGAAGGAAGAGCAATGGGCTTTGATTTTGGCTGTCTGTTAAAGCTGTGCAGCACAGTGCTGAAGCCGGGTGGAGCCCCGGGCCCAATCAACTACATGGAAATCGGACTGAACCTTATCAAGATTGCAGCCCCGTATATTGTCCAGTATCTTGGCATTATGGAACGCCCACCGAGGGTTGACGTTGAGGAGTTCTTCCAGCAGGCGGAGGTGACGGAGGGTTTTAAGCCGTGGGAGACACCAACCCATGTGAGCGGCACCTTTCGTGCCCTTTTCATCGGCATCAACTACTACGGCACCAGTGCCGAGCTCTCCGGTTGTTGCAATGATGTGAAACAAATAATCGCCACACTACAAAGGAAAAGAATTCCCATCGACGAGATGAGCATACTTGTGGATGAGAGGGGGTTCCCGGGGGCCAACGGCCTCCCCACACGTGACAACATTGTGCGCTACATGGCGTGGCTTGTTGGGGGTGCAAAACCGGGTGATGTGCTCTTCATGCACTATTCCGGTCACGGCACGCATACCCGTGCGACGAGCGACACGGAGGAGAAATTTGATCAATGCCTTGCCCCCGTCGACTTTTCGACTAAGGGCTGCATTCTTGACAACGACATTTTCAGAATTCTCCTCTCGGGACTGCCACAAGGAGTGCGACTCACTGTCGTATTTGACTGCTGCCACTCTGGCTCCATGCTTGACCTGCCGTACACGTTTGTGGGCAGCAGGAGTTTGAGCAGAAGCGTCGCCGGTCACATGCAGCGTATTCGCAAGGGAAACGACTGTGCCGGGGATGTGCTGATGATATCCGGTTGTGCTGACGAGCAGACGTCCGCTGACGTGAGCAACGCGGCCACATTTGGAACGGGCGCGTCAGGTGCTGGTGGGGCAGCCACACAGTGTCTGGCGTACACAATACTCAAAGTCAGTAATCTGTCGTACCAAGATATGCTTATTGCCACCCGTGACATGCTGAGAAGAAAGGGATTCACTCAGGTGCCTCAGCTGAGTGCATCCAAGCCAATCAATTTACAGCAGAAGTTTTCGCTCATGACGACGTTTGAGGTGGATCCAGCCGTCGCCACATGACTTGTGGCCACTGTTTGTAGGGCTTTGGACCGCGGCTTAACTGCCTGGAAAACAGCATGTGTTTGTTTGTTTGTTTGTGTTTTGTTTTTTTGTTTTGATTATTTATGGCTTTACTGTATTGCTTCTGATACATGTGTGTGGGCGTCGATAACCATCCAGCGGAGGGTTGGGGAGTCCGTTTTAAACTGGCTTTTGCTTCGCTAATTGTGTGCAAGCCGTGTGCTAAAAATTTTGTCCGGCATGTGTGTGTACTTACACATGTATGCTTAAGTGTTTATTCTCGAGGTACTCTTGTGGGGATGAATGTATATCAAGCACCCACAAGCCAGGGAAGAAGTAGAAGCAGCCCGATTATTGTGCGTTCTGCATCTACGCTTCTGAGCCCTTATATACTATATGTAT